ACCCTTAGCCTGGTTTAGCCCATCTGTTTTTCCAGGGTGTGGCTGCTGCATATGCTAAGCTTCTTGCAGCCCAGGTGAGAGCTGAGTGCCATGTGGCCACCACAGGTGGATGAGCAGCCCTGAAAAGCACTCAGCAAGCCCTCACACCAGAGGAGCCAGTCCTTCCTGAACACCCCATACACCCCTGGACCTTTGCATAGGGACTGAAGAAAAAAAGAGTTAAACTTAAGAGATACAACTGTTGCAAAACAACTGCCACAAAATTTATAAAGATTAAAAAATATCCACGTCTGCTTGAGAATTTCACGATTAAACAATCTATCCACTGCCAACCTAACCTGCTAATCTGTTTCTTTCAGATAGAACCTGTTATATTTCATCAGTTTATGTAGCCCTCAGTGAAGAATTTAGCCTATCAATGTAGACTACTACTCTCTCTGCAACTAATAATACAAAGAGTGCTAAAAGGCTAAATGACTTTCTGAGGATTATATAGCCACTATATGTCAGAGGCAGGCCTTGAGCCCAGGTTATCCTGACTTCAAAGCAAACTATTGCTCCATACTATCACAACTTGCCCTTCATCTACCTAGCAAATATTAAAATAATAGCATTATTCTTTCTAAAGGGAATACGACATTCCTGACTGCATTATTCCCTGGAAACACAAGAATGGACAAAAAGAGAAACAAGGAAGCAGCATTAAACATTACTCTACACAACAGTCTTACTTTCAAAGCTTTCAATATAGTATCTTGTATATGACCTTTTTTAAAGCTTTTAAAAAACATAAAATAACTTTCTCCCCATTTGACATGAAACTAGGTAGTGTAGTAGATAGAGAGATGGACTGAAGTCAGGAAGACCTGATTTCATTCTTCCTCAAGCACTAGCTATGTTGTGACACTGGCCAAATTACTTAACTTCTCTCAGGCTCAGTTTCCTTTTTATAGAACCTACCTCACAGGACTGTTCTAAGTACCAAATGAGTTCATATGCAAAGCACTTTGCAAACTTTAAAGCTCTACACAAATACTATTATTAAAGTATTCATTTGATTTTATTAAAATTTCTCTTTTTAAAAGAGTACATTCAAAACTTTAAATACAAGTCTCTTCCCAATTAGAGTACCCTTAATGACGAAGTTGCAATTTGTTTTGGTTCAGACCCATGATTTCACTGGAGTAAGAAATACCCTCAAGCAATAAAGATCAGCAACTGTTCTGCAAATTATTAACAGAGTTGTCTCGGGGCATCCAGCGGTAAGGGGTATACTTAAGAGCCACACAGCCAGGCTGTATCAGAACTTGAACCTAGGTCTTTCTGATACCAAGGCTGACTCTTTAGCCACCTTCTTATTAGGTTGCAAAGGGAAACAAAAATAATCACAATATGAAAAACATTCACTAATGAATGAATCACTAATAAAACTAGTCTCAATTTAAACATCCCTCTTGCCTTAGGGACAGAACATATGCCCATTCTAGTTCACTGTCATGCCTCAGTTAATCTCTCATTTTTGGTGAGTCTTCAAAAGGGAATGATAAAAGGATTAATAGTAGTCCCTAAGAAGATTGATGAAGTCCTACAATTTTGCAACAACCATCTCTATGACTGTATGTCAAAAGTGAAATTAAAAAAAAGTGAAATAAAGGTTATCTCGATTTCTTATCACACTTTTTCCCCCTAAAAAAAAACCAAAACAAACAAAAAACCAGAAATGCTCTAAACCTCCAATTTGTTCATTCTATGCTTCTGTGTTCATTGTAAGAATTAGCAGTTTTGATTATTTTGTTAAGTAAGATAAAATAACTTATTTTTTAAACTTTGTTTCATTTTTCAAGACAATGTCCCAATCACACCCTTTCCTTACTATTTACTGTGAACTGCTGGTTCCCATCTGAAGTAGATTCACTTTAAGTAGCCTTTTCTACTATGAATTATCTCTATCCACAAAAAAAAAATCTACTGTACCTTAAAATTCACTTAAAGTATAATTTTCATACTGCTCCCTCCCAATCTATCTTTCAAAGTTCTCACCTGGCTGATTCAAAAGTGTATTTGTTTGCTTTAAAATGTTACATAGGGAGATACCACTTTTACTCCGTGGCATACCATAAGATTGTTTTTATGAGAGTAAAAGAATAACTTAATCCAAAAAAATTGATAGAGTGAGATTAGGTAGGCTACTCTAGAACTGGGATTTGTCTGAAAAAGTGGGACTAATTCTTACCCTTTACCTATAATAACACATGGATAATTTGTTTACCACCTACATCTCAATAGCATGTAAAGCCCTTAGGGAGCTTAGTGAAATGTACATGATATGGACTCTTAAACAAGAGAATGATTCTGACAATTAATAATCCATAAAGGAAGAGGGAATGGGGAATGAATCGTTCTATTTAAATACCTGACCACGACTTTTTTTTTGGGGGGGGGCAGGTGTGCAAAGGAGGAAGACCTTATTCACGCAACAAAAACTGTTCAGAAGCCAATAGGGAAGTGTTTGTTATCTTACAAAAATCTCACCTTTACCAACTGGTTATGGAACATGTATCCTTTTGAGTATCATTAAACAAAAATGGAAGCAAGGACACATTAGTATGTAAGTTTAGTATGCAATTTCCAAATTGAAGTGGGTATAGTATCATGCTATGCTGCAAATCTCAAAAGTAAGGAGTTATAATCACCCCACTCACCTTCACAGAGCTTAACACAGCACTTTCCAGTAACTTAGGTGTAATGTACTGTATGACGCCCCACATCTTTGTGTTCATGACAAGAGTGAAAAGTAAAATGTAAACTCACTGACAGCAGGGATTACTTCATTTTTGTCTTTGTATCCCCAACACTAAGTAATAGTAGCTGTGTCATAAGTACTTATTGAATTGAATTTTATGTCCTAAAGCATAAAAAGGGAGCTGTCTAAAGAGACCAGTACAAACACTGAAAGAACTTATCAAAATACTCAGATTTTAAAAAGACATATTTAGAAAACAATATTTTATTTAGAATATTTAGAAGCAATATTTTCTTTACTCAAAGGAGTATTAGATTATTAGATTAACATCCAAAGGGCAAAAGCCCAGAATGAACTCAGGCTGATGACAATTGCTAAGAGAACAAAAAGGGGGTGGGTGGTGGGTGATTTGTTTTTTAGGTATGTCGGGAGAAAGGAAAAAAATCAAAGGTTTGGGAACCGCTTAGGGTTGATAAGAAGAAGACTGAACTACTCAGACTCATTTGTGGTTTCTGTTTTCTCAGTCAAGAATAATGATCTCTGGATTGGGAAAGATAAAATATAAATGTTTATGAGATAATCAGCCATTTTTGTCCTCATACTAAAAAACTGCAAAAACTAGTAGACAAGATTGCTGCTGTCCAGGATCTTTGCAAAATGGAAGACTAATGTTGACTCTATTTTCAAAAAAGAGAATTGAATCTACAAATTATATACTAGTGTGCCTGAGGAAGAAAGCAGCTAGACAGATGACTTGTCCAAGGTAACACACATCTTAAGGGGGATAGCTGGGATTCAAACCAGGGCTCTCCAATGTCCAGATTTAGGGCTTTTTGACTTCTCAGAAAGGGAAGCAGTGACCACTAAAAGCCCACCTAGTTTCATCAAAAAAGCATGTCATGACAGTCTAATCTTTTTTTTTTTTGAAAGGGTAACTAGATGGTAGGTGAGGGAGTTTGTATCCCTATTTCCTCTTTTTCACTGTGAACTCTGAAGTTCTCTGTTCATAGTAAACCTGTGCCCTCCCCTTGGAAATTATTTGTATTTACATACATGTTATTCATCTCCAAATAAATTTAAGCTCTTTAATTTTAATATGGACTATTTTGTCTTTGTATCCCTAACATATCCCAGATTTTGATACCTAGGAGGCCTTAATAAGTGTTTATTAAACTCTTCAATAACTCAAGAAACTGACAGAAAAAGTAAAAACTAATGTATATTACAATAATAACTATTCATATCAATGAACCTGAGTCATCAAAATAAGATAACATTAAGTTATGTTCACTCATTTAAATAACGCAATGAAGATTTAAAAAATATTTCTGGAAAATTTTCAACAAAGTTTTGGTTGGGTTTTTTTTTTTTACCTCCCAGAAAACTGGACCTCACTGCATTCACTAACAAATTAAGTGATGCTGGACAGATGAGGATGAATGAATATGACAAATACTATTGCTACAACAGAATTCTATAACTATCACTACAGTATTTCACTTTATTGTCCAATATTTAAGAGCTTTTATTAACTGACAACACATTTAGTCAGTCTTTTCATCATGCATCAAGGAGACAGTTTTATCTCCATTTTATACATTAGGAATGAAGCACAGAAATTTTACAAAGACAGACAGCAAATAACTGGCCAATTTGCAAACTTGCAAATTCCAAGTCCCTTGATTATGGTGGCTATAAGTGACAGTAATGATGAAAAGAAATCAAATTATTTTATATTCACACTTACTTAACAGGGCTTAAGAATTAGATCTTACTAGGTTGAAATTTAAAGTGAAAAGCTGACTCCTTTCATGATATAAAAAGAAGAAAGCAATGTCTGCATTGTCTCCTTGAGTGCTGGTACAATGTCTTTATGTAACCTTTGTAGAAGGCAAATAATTATTCCATTTCTTGTGGCTCATTCACCTAGAAAACAAAATATTACCCTTCCACCATAACTTTTCCACAAAGAACAAAATGATACAATTAAAGCTACTGAGGCAAATACAGTATTAAAAACATTAAAGTGACTACATAAAACCAGACAAATTTAAAAGATCTTCTACTATAATTAGATACACCCAGTACTAAAGCAAGAAAATAGTTAAAAACTCTGAAATTAAAGCCAATAATGAGATTGTGGCAAATAATTCGATTTAAGGAATATATTTAACCTTCTTGATTGCTTTTACATTTAAAATGCTAGATAGATTTCCGCACCCCCCCCCCAAAAAAAGTAGTGGTCAAAAAATCTCACCTTGCCATGGCTTCTCTCCACTTTCTGAAAACATTTGTTCAAAGAAAGGTTGTGTCGAACAGAATTCTTCCAACCTGTTGGTGCTGTAGCAAAATATGGAAATCGTTCCAGAATCCAACTATAGATTTCTTTGACCGGCAAACATTTATTTGGAGAATGTTCAATAGCCATGTAAATGAGAAGACTAAAGGAGTAAGGGGGTTTTGAATTCCCTGATTTTTTTTCTGTGTTCTGGTAGGATGGTACAAAAGATGGCACATTATCACCTTCAATGTCATATATTGGACTAACAATAGGAAGACCCTCATTTCCAAGGCTGAAGTTTGTTAGAAGATTAGTACTTTCATGAAGCCAGTTCAAATTTGTGAGCTCATCATCTGCTGATTCACTGTCCACTAAAGTAGCTTTTGGCCTGGCAGCATCAACTGCTTCAGGCAAGCTTCCCATTCTGTAAATCTGGCTTAATCCTGCAACCTTTTCTGCTCCGGGCGTTTCAGCTCTCTTATCTGGAGTCATTCCAGTTACCGGACCCATTTAATCCTATGGCTCTGCAAGAAAGAAAACAATTATAAATCAATGTAATCCTTAAGACTCTTAACCTGTTTGTGCATCTCAAAGTAATAATTTAAATGCCCATCCCAACACATACTTATACACGTGTGTATATATATTTATATTAAAATACCCATATAATGAAATAAATTTAGAGTAAGAATAAGGTAATGGAAAATACCCCATATTTATAATCAAAAGATTATTTATTGAATGTTGTTGTAGTCCATCACATGAATAGGTAATAAAAAGAAATTTTATACAAAAAGGTTTTTTATTAATTAAAAGACATAAAACCAAGTTTTTAATCCCACTTATAATACATAAAGAATAAGAAATAACAGAAACTAATATTTAGAATGATCCCTAGATCCTACTTGAGATACTCCTTTTCTAAAAGCAAATTCCAAATAATTCATTCAATCATCACAGTAAAGATATAAAACAATGTATTTGAATGGACCTTTACCCCTGGGGAAGAGGGGGAGTGAAGAGGGGAGTCACGCTACTTGAGAAACCAAGGAAAACGTCTCCACTGAATCCATCATTATTTAGAATAATCCAAACTACTCATTTTATCAGGTTGGGTTTTTTTATTTGTTTGTTTGTTTTGCTTTACAACAAAAAGAAAAAGGGACAGGTATTTACTAGACAACTACTGCCTACTTTAAAGTCTTTATTAATAGCCTGAGGCACTGTATTTCCAAATGTGGTTTTCTTCTTTAAATTCAAATTTTCAAAAACTATAATCTATTACCTATAATTGCAACTTTCTCATGCAAAATCAGGTGAAGTGCTAGGATATCTATATGAAGATAATCAAAATTATAATCTTTGTTGGCCACCTAGGAAATAAACCAAATTATGCTAAGCATTATATATACTCACATAATTCACCCACTTTCTCCCAAGCCCAAGTAAGCATTTGAATGCTAGTCTACAAGTACCCAAAGTTAATTGTAATCCAGGCTCATTAGCATGTCTCCTTCCTTTGAGCAACTTCTATGCTTCTCAGACAGTAAAAATTTGTGGGAGGGAAAAGTAATTTATAAGTGATTGAAAAAATAGTGCTAGAAAGAAATTCTAAATGTAGAGTTCCAGATTTGGTCATCAAAGGAACTTTTGTACCAGGGGAAGAGGGACAACAGACACTCTAATTGGAAGGGACTTTAGAAAACATTTAGGAGATGAGAGGAATGCTAAAGATAAAAAGGGGTTATTAGTTTGTGTGTGTGTTTTTTTTTAAAATAAAATGGAGAAAAGAGAAGGACCAGAGAAGAGACAGAATTATGATAACTGATCTCAGGGAGAAGGCAGAGCTGCTTAGCCCTTATTTTTGCTTCTGTTTTCTCTGCCAAGAAGAATGATCTGTGGACTAGCACAAAAATGGCTAATCTGGGATTTGATTACCAAGATACCGTAGGAGAAAGTAAGAGAACATCTAATCACTCTGCATGAGGTCAAATCACCTGGCCTAGATGAACCAACTCTACAAGCAAGCTTCAACCGGTTAGTACTCCAATTCCCCATATTTCAATTCATGTCTGTCTTGTCAGATTCACTAGAAAGCACTAATAGGTAAAAGCCTTCTTCTAGGAGAGAATGAATATATTTTATTTAAAAGCATACTGTCATAATCACAGAAAGTTTTACTTAGAGAAAAAAACTGCTTGGGTATGAATTCCCATTTGTAATTTTTAAGTCTTTTTTTAAAAAATTCACAACAAAATCTAAATGATTATTGCTAATACAATTAGCTCCACTTTTATCCATTCTATCCTTCACATATAAAGTTGATATATTAAAAGGATTGTTATTTTCAGGATTTGTACCAATTAACGGAACACTTTTGGGCAATCTGGTATGATCAATGGGCAAATGCCACCTGTTCAAAGTCATCTGACTGGTTAAAGTACAGTCTGTAGTCATGGAAAAGAATAAAACTAAAAACTTTTGGTTCTCTAAAAAGTGCTGCAATTGGGAATTCATGTTTTTGATAACAGACTTTCATTTCCTTATTCTTTACAGATACATGGTCCACTGCACCCCATATTAGTGAAATGTGGGCTTAAAATACAATCACACTATGCACTCAAACCATTCTTAATTTTCAACTTTAATAAACTGAAAGTTTTTTGGAAACATAAAAATTTTGTTAAGGATACTATCTATCCTTCCTCTTTATATCCCTTTGGCTGATTTGATGTATACTCATAGCTTTGGGGGAAAAAATACAAAAATTGAGGTATATAACTAAATCTCAAATTCAAATGTTTCTGCTTAGTCTTTAATATTTATATTATCAATTAACTTGTTTTTGCAAGTCAGTATAATACTACACTCAAAATACAAATATTCACCACTTAAAAAGTAGGTCTGTGAAGAGACATTTCAAATAAGCAAAGGTTCATGTGACCTCCACTAACGTGATTCTCATATATTTCATCCTAGGGCAGAAGTGAAAATCTGATAGGTTTTAGTAAACTGGAAAGACTTCTGAGAGCAAAGGAAGAAATGAGCTACATGTGAGGGTTTTCCACATGGTAATTAATTATTTTAGCCATGGCAATTAACAAACTGTGTACTAAGTATGAAGAAATGTGAATTTTATTGGTAGAGGGAGTATCCACTCTTTTAATCTTCAATGGGGCAGCTAGTAGTGCAGCAGATAGAATGTCAGACATGGAGCCAGGAAGACTTGAGTTCAAATGTGACTTGAGGCACTTCATTTACTAGCTGTATGGTACAGGGTAAGTCACATACCCTGTTTGCTTCAGCTCCTCATCTGTAAAATAAGCTGGACAAGGAAATGGCAAATCACTCCAGTATCCTTGACAAGAACACCCCAAATGGGGTCAGGAAGAGTTGGAAAAGACTGAAACAACTGAACAACTTATCTTCAATGCATCTGTGTTATCACTGATGTCAGTACTATCTCTATGCAGATCACAAGTTACCTATGTCTTCTCATCCTGTGCTTTTATCTTTGTTCTCTTATAAACCTTCCTCAGTGGTTACACTCAACATTCTAGACCAGGAATTCTTAACTTGGAGTCTGCCCAGATTTCAAGGGTTCAGTGAACTTAGATTTTCACTAACTTCTAACTGAAATTGAGCATTTGTTCTATTATGAATGCAGACCAAAAAAATATAGCATGAACGAAGCATGTGCAAAGCAATGTGCTAACTGCTGGGGATACAAATGGAAAAATGAGACAGCTCCTACTCTCAAGGAGTTCACAATCTAATGGGGGGAGAAAATATACATGAAAGGTTTCTGCTACAAGTCAGATATAGAAGTTCCATGGTCTTTAGGGTGCAGCAAAGCAGACGTTAATGCCTCTTCTTTAGTGTTACTTTGATTGACAACATCATATCAGTTTCCATGATGTCTGAGTATACTGGGCTAGAAGCATTATTACCAAGGCTCTTGGGTTCAGGACCCTGGGCTGTCTCCAAAAGGATCTGAGTAGAGAGGGTGGTATGATTTGCCTGGCATATGCTGTTTTCTCTCTCTCCCTCAGGGTTCCTTGCTATTATTCAGAGAAGAGGTCTGTTGATTCCACTAGACTGTCAAAGGGGAACATAACACAAAAAAAATGCCCACTCTAGTTCAATTGTGGATCTAGTTCACTGTCCATCTTGAGGAAAATTAATATTACGCTATGTTATTTAATAACCAACATTACTTTGTAATCCATCCTATTCTGCACTTGGTCAAATCCCCATTTTGCAGTCTAGCTCAAAAGACATTCAGTCTGAACTATAGCCGTGGTAGAATAATCATTCCTAGCCCTCAGGCACCCAGTGAGGAATCTGGGACCCTTGCTTTTATTTACAGATAAACAAAAAAACCAGCTAGGCCTGGGATCCTGGGTGGGTAGGGGTTCTCCTGTTCTCTTTTCTTGTTAAAGTTGAGGATAATCTCATCTCCAAGGGGAAACCAAATGGGAATAGGGGAATCCTGATTGAGATGGTTCTGATTTTCTAGCCAAGATTACTTACTAGAGGTAGTTGATACCCATCAAACAATTAATACTCCTTAATTGCCAGAGCAATTAGGCAGCTAGGTGGCACAGTGGATAGAGTGCTGGACCTGGAGTCAAGAAGACTCATCTTCCTGAGTTCAAATCTGACCTCAGATGCTTTCTAGAGCTATGTGATGCTGGGCAAATGTAACCCGGTTTGCCTCAGTTTCCTCATCTGTAAAATGAGCTGAAGAAAGAAATGGCAAACCACTCCAGTATCTTTGCTAAGAAAAACCCAAATGGGGTCAAGATAAGCCACACCTGAAGGCCAATCCACCTTCCCCACCTGCAGACTAATCCTATCACCTGAGGTTTACAAAGGAGGAGCTGAGTCAACTCTTAACCCACCTCCTTATTAAAATGCCTACCAATTTGCAGGGGAGATCCAAATGATATACTGACAGGCCAATGGGAGAGAGGCTATTGACCCAATTTATTAGTTATTGCTAGCCTAATAAATTGATCATGGACAGATCCCTGGCTTTTTTGGCTGAAAAGGTCAGCGTGACCCACTTTACTAACAGTTTATCCATCACTGTTAATAAATTGTTATCTTGCCCTGAAAAAAACTGTCTCAGCCTGCCTTTGTTACAATCTTACTGTGCCACAAGCAAGTTACTTGTCCAAGATTGTGTGTATGTGTACACACATACATATATAAGGAACCAGGTCAAAAGGTTGGATTATCAAAGTCTGGACAAGACATTCTTCATCTATTTGTTTTTTGTTTTGTTTTGCTTTTTTTCCTCTCGTTAGAGGTTGTGAATCTTTCTGCATTCTGGGGTTTGATGCAATCAGCACAATGTCATCAACTAACTAACAGGAGCATCCAGAAGACTTCTATCCATAAATAAAGCCTCTCCAATTTGAGCTCTGTAGTGGATGTCCTCTGTGATAACAGCAAAATCAAGCAATTAACAAGCATTTATTAACTACATGCTTTGTGCCATGCACTGTGCTACTAAAGT